GGGGGAGAGAGGGGGGGAGAGAGAGAGCAAAGAAGGATGAGGTGGTAGGAGAGTGGGAAAAGGAGAGAGGAGTTCTATAAAGAAAAAGGTTGGGAAATAGAGGAGATAGAAAGGATGAGGGTGGAGGGAGAGATGAGGGGAGACGAGGTAGTAAGAAGGGAGAAGAGATAGCAGGAAGAAAGGTGGAGGAAAATAAAGGAGGCTAGGGGGAATATATGGTACAAGAGGATAAAAGGAAAAGGGATACCAGAATACTTAAAGAAAGGGTGGAAGGAAGAAAGATGGCAGAGGATAGCGAGATTTAGATTAGGGGAGGAAATGAGAGGTAATAGATATATTGGGAGAAAGAGGAGAAAAGGAGGTGTAGGGTTTGCGGATGAAAGGAGGAGACGTGGGAACATGTTTGGGACGAATGTACGGACTGGGGGAGGGAGAAGGGATGGCAGATGGTAGAGGAGGTATTGGGGGAAGGAGGAGAGGGAAAAGAATTGTTATTAAAAATAGTAGAGTGGAAAGAAGGGAAGGAAGGCGGAAGGAATGAATGAAGAAGAAAGAGAAAGAATGAAGGATGCGGCGGAAACAGAAGTCCAGCGGATGAATGTATCTCTCTCTCTCAAGCGAATGAAAATAGGTTAAGCAAATAGATTAAGGTAAAAGTAAGAATTAGGTTAAGGTTTTTGTAATCGGAGCGGAGGTCCGTAAGTGTACCCCGCATGGGAATAAATACATACAATATATTTTAATTATTAATACAAGATATTTTAAGAAATTCTAATATTAACCATTGTAAGTGCTAAGTAAATGCTAGCTATATAAAAAATAAAAGTATTTATTCTACAGTCCATACAAAATCAAATAAAATGTTAGTCAAATTTTTATTAACTCGTTAAGATCAAATTTCATATTCTTAATCCCTTCATGTCCTCCATATATGGTTTGGACATTTCATTATTTGTAATAACGACAATTCCACATATTATAATTATGCACTTTCTTGAGAAAATAAAAATCATATTAAATTTGCTCTTTCAAATTTGATACCTCCAAATAAAATAAATTAATAGTCACTATAACGTTATATCACGTTGCTGAATATCTGTTTGTAAACAATGCATTTAATTACCTTATGATGTATCCGCTCCTTGTAACTTTCAGACCTGTTGATGTTTGACGTCTTTGGCTTACTGGAAATATTTTGCTGGACCCTAAGTAATCGTAATTAATAAAGCGTAAATTAATTTCCACAATGCAAACAAACCGGTCATATAAAACAATAAATATTATTAAAAATTAATATTTGACACTATTACATTTAAACAATAACCTAAGAATTTAAGAATATTTGATGCTAAAACTAAGCAAAAACTAAAATGAAATAAAATCTAAGATTTGAAATATAAAAAATTTTTAATCTAATGATTCAGACATATAGAAATTCAAAGATTCATAATTTTACCCAGTCCATTTAACACAGAATTTAAAATTCAAACCAATAAAAATACTTATACAATAATCACTCAGAAAGTGTAACATATTCTTTTATAGCAATTTTATTTAAAAAAAGTAAAATATAATATTCTTTAAAACATATCATTTGAAGAAATATAATTCCAAGTACTGCATAATAACACACACACACACGCACGCACGCACGTACGCACAAATCTACACTTTCAAATTCGTGTATAGTAGAGGGCAAAATAATATGAATACCTAAGAATGTACTACTTTTTTTATTGATAAGAAATTGTCTCATTATTTACTCTTAAGATTCTATCCTTGTTGGAATAGAATCACATAATGCTTCAATAGCGACTAATAAAATGTCATTATATTCTTTCAGCAAAATATCTTTCAATTGTTTATGTAAGTGATATTGAAGGGGAAAATTTGCTTCTTGCCGCTAGCAATCTGCGACCAATTGCAACCGTGGTTAAATGCAACGTGATCAATCAGAACCGTGGTTTATAAAAACGTTGTAACATTTTTAAAAAATTTATACTTTAACTTTTACAATAAAGAATTTTAACACATATAAATTGTAATTTAGAAGTTTCTAATAATTCTTAATTTAAATAATTAATTTTTCCTTTTATAAAGTTGATTAAATAATAAAAATTTTTTAATAATTTGACATTTGAAAATATTACTTTGTAATGTTATTTATTGACTCTTATAATACTGACTTTTTGACTGTTATATATAATAGTATTTTCTTTTTTTAATCTTGCTTCTCTAGTAATTTCGTTTTGTATCCAATAAAGAAATATTATTAACGTAAAAAGTATATGTGTATACATTTTGTATATGCTGTTATGTTAAAGTTGTAGCAAACAGTATGAGGTATTTAATACTACAAAAGGTATGATGTTTAAAAAATTAATAGTTAATGACTCTTCTAAAAATTTAAAGATAAATACACTTTGTGTAAAACTTTAATAAGAAAATAGATATAAAAATATATAAACAAATGTATTATTGTAATTTCTACAAGAAAGATAAAACTAAGAATATAAATAGAAAAAAATGTTCCATTACCTAGATACATACATTTCAGAAATATCTTCTCGGGACGATGGATTGTCCATGTTATCGGTATGATCATTGATTCCTCCTAAACTGGAAATTCTCATTCTCTCACAACTGTTGCGAGTGTTTCCAGCCACGCTACCCACGCGATGTTCACCTGAAAATACAAGTATCAACATAGAGTTAAAAACAAAATTCTCTAGTATTCACGTAGTTATTTAATAATCTTATTACTTAATTTGCAACTTGCATTCTAACTAAGATATATCCATTAATTATTCTTCTAATAATTATTCCTTGAATTGCTATCAGTATACAGGGTGTCTCATTTTAAATGATCCACGCAAATATATCAAAAAATTTGAGAGATACGGGAAAACCAAAGTTGTTTGGTTCGAAGGAGGACATAAGGTGGTGCCAGTGATTTCACGTTGGATAGTCATTTGAAGGTTACGTATAGGTCACCTTTAATTTTTAAATGGAAACCTCCATTGTTTATTATACTATCTTATTTTAATGATTAATATGAACAACTTTCGTCCGAAACATTTTTTTATTTGCCTAATACTTTTTGAGATATTCAAGAGAAAATTTATAACTCTCAATATTTAGCTTATATGTATAAGCATCATCCAATCAAGAATTTTATAGAAAGAAAATTACAACAGCATATTTCTGAGACCAAATCAAGTAACCAAGTCCTGTACTACTTTTCCTTCCGACAAACAGTTATCGAGATAACATAAGTTAAACATTGAAAAAGTTATAAATTTTCTCTTGAATATCTCAAAAAGTATTAGGCAAGTCAAAAAATGTTTCAGACGAAAGTTGTTCATATTAATCATTAAAATAAGATAGTATAATAAACAATGAAGGGTTCCGTTTAAAAAATTAAAGGTGACCTTTACATATCCTTCAAATAACTATCCAAAGTGAAGTCAATGGCACTACCTTATGTCCCACTTTGAACCAAATAACGTTTGTGTGAAACATCTTTCCGTATCTTTCATATTTTTGAAGATATTTGCGTGGATCATTTAAAATGAGACACCCTGTATATTTAACATATAATCAGATATAAAATATAACTAATTGTGAGACGTTATAACATCTTGCAGCCTTTTCAACCTTTAGGATTAGATTCTTCTTGAATTTATTTACAAGAGAAAAGCGCAAATTCTACATATGTTTCTGAACATATGTTTCTTTTGCGAATAATTTCAAGAATCCAACCCTTAGAGATTAATAAATATATTCTAAAGTAAAATATTGAAAATCTCGTGATAATAAAAACATCACATTACATTCAAGCTTGAGAGTTTTGTTGCTCAAGCAAAATACAGGACATTTGGAAATTCAACCGACAAATTTTGAGAGATTGTTAGGGGTACCATAAGAATCATTTTTTGCAAATGAACCTGGGGTCAAAAACGTGTCATTATGTTGCTATGGCATACAGAGTGTTCAAAAGAGTCGAGACCTTAGAATATCACAAACAATTTAACTTTCATAAAACATTGTTTCAGACAAAAGTTATATACTATAGGGTGTAAAAAGATCTATTTACTGGCACCATGAGTTTAATCTTGATAAGGTTATTCCTGATAAGTCGACGACTGTAGCTATCTTATCATTATCCACGAATAAAGGTAGAAGTGGAAAATGGTGGTGAATCTACTTTTATAACTAACCAATGCATATGATATTTTGGGTAATTTTTTATTACAGACATTCGAGCAAATAAAAACCTTTATTTTCGTAGACTTGAATTTGTACTCCAAACAGTACTCTTATGCAGTGTTGGAAAGCACGTATCCGATTGAAATCCTACATGAATAATTGCTACCATCCATACAAGCGGCAGAAGGTACAGAGTTTGAATCTAGCTGATTATCCTCACCGTCAAAAATTTGTGCATTGGTTTCTGCGGAAGATTCACCAGAATCCAGACTTTGCAAAATTTATTTTGTTCACCGATGAGGTTTTGTTCACCAGAGAAGAAGTCTTCAACTGCCACAACAGCTATGTGTGAGCAGATGAAAATCCGCATGTTGTGAGAAGCAGTTTAACATGAATAATCGGGTTGGTATTGTAGGCAACTGTCTTCTTGGACCTTACATTCTGCCCAACTACCTACACGGAGATATTGCAAGCAAATAATCCTGGCTTGTTGCCAGGATTAAAAAAAGCAGCTGTTCAAAACGATCCTAGCGTGAACATCAGAGTCTGCTGGTTCTTGGTTCGGCGCTGTCGTCCGTGTAAAGATCTTGGGAGACGAAACTTCAAGCATCTGTTTTGAGATACCTTCCTACACGATACCGCTCATACAGAGTCTTTATCAGCTGGATCAGCCACCAATCTTGGCTTCATCGGCTGGATAATCCATTGGTCTTGCCTTCATCGGCAGGATACTCCTTTAATCTTGCCTTCATTGGCTGGATACTCTTTTCATCTTGCCTTCATCGGGTATCGAATGGTAAATGTAGCATAAGAAAAATGCGAATTGTATTTGAAAAATAATTATCAATTCGAATACGTGAATCTGCTGACGATAATAATTCCACGTTTAATATAAACTGCGTTACGTCCGAAAAAGAAAATCGGCGCGTAGAACTAATGTGGAAAGAAACGGTATATAGATTCACGATTTTTCAGAAGATCTAAGATTTGCAAGTTGGACTACCTACATCTTGCCTTGTGACCCACATTGGCGTGTTCTCATATAATGTTTAGTTTTAGATAGGGGTCTTACTTGAAAGTTTATTAAAAAGTGAAGGGTTCTATTTCAAAAATTCAGGATGGCCTTGTCCTGATCTCGGTGACACCATCCAAAGTCAAATAAATGGCGCCAGTAAATACATCTTTTTACACCCTACAACTTTTGTCTGAAACAATGTTTTATGAAACTTATATTTTTGTGATAATTTGAGGTCCCAACTCTTTTGACTATTCTGTATGCCGTAGCGATGTAATGACACGTTTTCGACCCCAATTTTATTTGCAAAATTAATATAAAATTCTTATGGTGTCCCCAACAAACTCTGAAAATTTGTCGGTTAAATTTCCAAATATCCTGTATATATTTCGTGTTTGGGAAGAATAATATTAATAAGTGCATATAGTCCAATTATAACTCAATTTTATATCAGAGAAATGATAGAACCTGAAAATATTTTAAGAAATATTGTCCAATTTTTCGAGAATAAAACTTGAGATTCTTACAAACAAGAAATTTATAGTTTAAAAGCATATTTAAGAATAATGTATTCGTTTAAATAAAAAATATTGTAAATAAATTACACATGCATTATTAAAAATAACAGGTCTTTCGCTTTAAAAATCTGATATTTCGGATGTACAATGTGTTCATATAAAATTTATTGTTTTTTGTTTTCGTTAAGAACACTATATTATTAGGAAAAAATTGGATATTCTTTATACAATTGTATAATTGTAAAACATAATTTTGCAAAATTACTTTTTCTAAAAGCAAAAAGTAAATATAAGAAGAAAAATAAAGAAGTAAAACTCACCATTTTCCCCATCCGTTAACGCACCGCAATCTTCTTCACTCTTTTTGATTTTATCAACTGTGACACAAAATAAAAGTTTCAACAATGATAGCAAAGATAAGACAATAAAAATCCAAATTATCAGATTCATTCTACAAATATCTTTATTAAAATAATTTTCTTTTATTGAAATTTCCACCCATTGCAGTCATTAACGACAATATAATTGTATCTTTTACGGTAGTAGATACATAGTGTATTAACGTAAAAACAAAACGTTATTAATTTTAATTTCTACGATATAAACTCCTATCTTTTAAGGACTGAGCAGTTTAATTATATACATATACAGGGTGTCCGAAAAATCGCCTACTCCACCTCGGGAGGCGAATCGGGACCCAAAAACAAGCAAAAAAGTTCATACAAACATAGGTCCGGAAATGAGCCGTTTCCGAGTTATAGCCACTTTTATGTTCAAAAATCGTAATTTAGAATCCGCTTGGCATCCCTCTTTCTTAATTATTTCTTAAATTAAAATTTTTTATTTTTAAATTTGTATTTTTAATTTTTTTAATTTTAATTTTTTCAGTTTTTTCAATTTTTCAATATTTGTAAATACGATTACATTATTTTTAAAAGAAATCAGTTGTTTTCACGACTACTTAAAGTCAGTTGTTTTCGCGACTATTCAAAATCAGTTGTTTTCACGGCTATTCAAAATCAGTTGTTTTCACGGCTACT